GAAATAAAATGTTTCAGTGACACGTTCATTCTTGGCTTGGGTATCCACTGCCGACAGCCCTCTGACCCTCCCACTGAGGATGCCAAGAAGGATTATAGGAGAAAATTCTACTTATCTTGAAGCTGAATAGAGTTCTTAACTAATAGTGACAGACCTACCAGTGTGACTGTCACTAATGGCAATGCCCTGGGGCACAAGGCGATGAACAAGTTCAGAAGGAAGTACAAATGCGTGAGAAAGGAGTCAAGATAACAAGGGCCAAAGATACTTTAGAAACGCTTATTTTTAGAACTTTGCTGGTCTGATTCGGGCTTATTCTTGTGTCAGTGTTTCTAACATAAGAATATGCTCTTATAGCCACTGTCTGAAGAGAAGACCATTGTACTGAGCCACCGTGCACTGTTTTTGTTTGTTTTTTGCATGTATGGAGCTTCTTTCCCTATGATGATTTGTATCTTAGAAATTCGATTTTTCTTTTGTTTGTTTGACCTTTGAGTCAGCCTCTCATTCAGTAGTACTTGCCAGCCTGGAATTCATTGTGTAGACCAGGCTGCATTCAAACTCAGGGCAATCATCCTATTTCTGCCTCCGGAGTGTTGGGATTTCAGACATGCACCACTGCACACCAACCTAACAATGACATTTATTATTTAAGTGTACTTATCTCTGAAATTTAAGAATAGGAAATACTCTATGACAATCAACTTACTATAAGAATTTGTGTGTGTGTGTGTGTGTGTGTGTGTGTGTGTGTGTATGTGTTTGTATGTGTGTGTGAATGGTTTAATCACCACTACTTTATAACAGGTGTGAAGACCTCACAAAAACCTAGTTTCTAATTCCATGACACTTTCCCTCTATGTATTGTTTATAAGAGCACCACATCTTTATTTCAATAGCTGGCAAGTGGTGAATGGGTAAAGGTACAAGCCAGCAAAACTGAAAAGCAGAATCCGACCCCCAGATTCCATGTGGTAGAAGGAGAGCACTGACTACTGAAAGCTGTCCTCTGACTTCAAACACACAGCTTGGCATGTGTGTGTCCCCAGATTAAAGAATAGAAATAAATGTGTAATAGTAATAACAAAGTCCAAGTATAAAGCTTCGTATCTCTTGATAATTCAAGCATTCTAGTACAAAAGAGGCTTAAACCATTTAAAAGCTTACAGCTGTGAGAGATATTTTAGACAAGTATCCTTTTAGTAACTCTCAGTAAATAAACAGAAGGTAAAGAGGAGGAACATAGAGAGAAAAGAGTGTTGTAGAATATTATTTTCAAATGGGTTACTTTTGTTGAGTTGCATTTGTTTAACTCTGTAAAGCTGTGTTACTGTGCCTGTCTAAACCACCTGATGGTCTAATAAAGAACTGAATGGCCAATAGCAAGGCAGGAGAAGGTATGGGTGGAGCTGACAGGCAGAGAGGATAAATAGAAGGAGAAATTTGGGAGAAAAAAGAGATAGCCAGAGAAGAAGGAGGACATCAGAGTCCAGCCAGCCAGCCAGCCACATAGCAAACCACAATGTAAGAGCAAGATTTACAGAAGTAAGAGAAAGGGAAAAGCCCAAAGGAAAAAGCTAGATGGGATACTTTAAGTAAAGCTGGCCAGAAACAAGCCAAGCTAAGGCCAAGCATTTATAATTAGGATAAGCCTGTGTGTGTGACTTATTTGGTGGCAGGCACCCCAAAAGAGCAAAGACAAACAACAACAAAGAAGTCTATAAGCATGATCAAATTGTCATGGGCTTTAGTTTCTGTTATCTTGATGTGTTGTTGAAGAATAGAGTTAAAGGAACTGTGGGACTTCCTACAGTCTGTGAGTGACTAGAGTCCCACAAGCCAACTTGCCAGTCTGGGTTACTTCCTGTAGAACCACCCTCTGAAAGCCAAGCTGTCGGAGGAATTATCTTCAGACTATGCTAAAATTTATATCACAATGGAAATCTCACCTAAAAAACACATAAATCGGTATATTAAACAAAGTGTTATCATGTCATAGGAACCTCTAAAACTATTGAAAATTACTATTTTATCTTTATAATTAACTCTCCATTGGGTAATTTAGTAGACAGACACATCACCAAAGATGTCCTCAGGGAAGTCTGCAGATTTTTCCATTTCGTTGCTAATGAGCCATTTTCACCTGACTTCTGCTCCCATCACTCCCCACTGAAGAACCAGCTGTCAATTTCCACAGCTGAGCAGGTTTGCTACCACACAGGTGGCAGCAGAAAGAAATCATATGAATGGAGGTAGTTAATCTGGAACTAGATGGTCCACCTGGTGTCATTAAAAACTGATTGCACATCAGAGGTGGTTAACCATGGAGAATCAACACTTAAGATTGTGAGTATCCTTGCAAGGATAGATGAGAAAATTTGACCTAAGTTGGATATCTGAACAGTCCCATGCTCAATGTGTGATCAATGGTGGCCATTCATAAATGGTGGACATTCTCTAGAGAAAGGGAGTGGGTTGGGCTATTCCAGACTATAACACTCAGTCACTCTGCAACCCTCTAGGTGTGGTAGTCCCTCTGAAAGCAAACATTCTTTATCTACTGAGTCATAGCAGTTTTCTGCTTACCTGCCCTAATATAGCTGGATATGCTTTGCAAGCTGTGATTGCTTAACGTAAATATGGAAACGTGTTATAATTAGCCTTGATTTCATGGATTATTTTTAATTTTTCTTAATGTAGCTGACAATATTCATGAACATGTGACTTAGTTCATCTCTATATATAACTATGACCATATATATTTTGGTTTGTTTCTTTTTTTCTGTTTAGAATTTGCTCTTGTAGAATGTCTTCTTTGGTGACTCGGTAGTAGCCTGGAAGGTGTCCTGTGATGTCATACCACCTAACAGGACCACTGTTAAAGAACTCATCACACAGTGTTAGAACTGGCTGGGTGCAGGTTCTACTTTCTCAGAGTCACTGAGTCATAAAATGAATATGTGCAGAGTTCTTGCCTTCTTTAGTCTTAAGTTGTCACTACATAGCATAGGGCATCATGGGGAATCAAGAAATATATTAAGATGAATTTGCTTCATGAGTACATATGAATAAAAGTTAACACAAGGAAGTATCAGAAGCCCTCTTCCTGTGTTCTGATTTGTCATCTGCTCTGTCATTCTGCATGCAGTGTGACTGATTCAATGGGAAGTGTGATAATGCCCACTTTAAACCATAGTAGTGATGGGAATGGTGTGGCATAGATCTGAGATTGACAGAGGTTCAATCAATATGATTTGGAAAATAATTAAACAGAGGAAGAATGAGAAATCTGAGAGAGCTGTCAGATCTGTGGCTCACAGTCATGGGAAGATGGAGCTGTCAGATCTGTGGCTCACAGTTCTGGGGAGATGGAGGCTGTCAGATCTGTGGCTCACAGTTCTGGGGAGATGGAGGCTGTCAGATCTGTGGCTCACGGTTCTGGGAAGATGGAGGCTTTCAGATCTGTGGCTCACGGCTGTGGGAAGATGGAGGCTGTCAGATCTGTGGCTCACAGCTGTGGGAAGATGGAGGCTGTCAGATCTGTGGCTCACGGTTCTGGGAAGATGGAGCTGTCAGATCTGTGGCTCACAACTGTGGGAAGATGGAGGCTGTCAGATCTGTGGCTCGCGGTTCTGGGAAGATGGAGGCTGTCAGATCTGTGGCTCACAGTTCTGGGGAGATGGAGGGCTCATATACACAGAGAGGAGCTGATTACTGTTACTATTGTCTTTCACAAGAGCCGGGAAAGGAGGAACACCTGCTTCCTGGGTGCAGTTAGGCATGTTTATTTTGTATTGATTTGGTGAACTCTCAGGGAAAGTTGTATGAATCAGGAGCCTTTAATATGATGTGGCGGTTCTGAAATCTCTAGGAAAAACATATGAAGAATTTCAGAAGGCAGGACTTAAGAACATACCAAGATATTGGGGGCGAGGATGGGGGCGAGAGAAGCAGATGGATCAGTAAGTGTGCAATGAAGCAATGAAAATGAATTCTAGGTATAAAAATGAAGGCAGCCATGAAAATTGTCTATTGTAGAACATGGTTACATTTTATGTAGATGAACTTGTGGACAGTTGAAGAAGTGTGCGGCAGTAAGAATACATAGTGGTTAACTTGTGTCAACTTAAAGGGTTTCAGACCTTTGATCTTTCTGAGTGTGACAGTAAAAGTGTTTCTAGAAAATGTTAATATGCTAATCATTTGAATGAACAAAACAGGCCTCTTTAAAATGGGCGTTCCATAGTTGATCGGTTGAAAGCAGGATGTCTGAGGACAACTCAAAACTGACACTCTCTGAGTGAGGTGTGGATTCCTCCTGAATGACAGTCTTCAAACTGGAGCATATTGTCTCCTTGACTTAAATCAACAGCTGGAATGTAATCTCTACCTGTGTCTCTGGGCTGCTGATATTGGGGTTCAAACTACCACATCAGTTCCCTGTGGCTGTTGATTACAGATCTTGAAGCACTTTAATGGGTCTATAGAAACTATTATATAAACAAAAACCATTTCATTAAATGGAGAATTTTACTAAACAATGAACTTCACTTAAATTACACAAAATAGAGACTTCCTCAAACATATAAATTCCTTGCAGGTCACCAGAGAACCAATGGCATAATGGTTCAAATAGTTTAAAATGACAACTATTTATTAGATTTTAAATCCCTTAAATAAAATTCAAAATAAAATTTCACAAATACTTAGAATAGCATAAAATATAAAGTATCCCTTAAAATCTTAAGCATTGTGAAAATGCAGATACACAGTGATGTGGTGAATAGTTCCTTAACTATTGTGATCATGTAAGAAAGTTCAGTTCTATGAATACATCAAATAAAAACCAGCATCATCATTTGTGTATGTGAGTAAATATTGAGATTTCAAGTATCATTAAATAGAGTCATGACTTACAATATTTAATAAAAATAATGGGCTTGGATTAAATGAAAACATTTCAGAGGAGTCTTTTATTCACATTCACATTTTCTTAACAGGTATTTTTAGAAGACTGCTATTTAATGCCATTCAAGTCCTGCCAAGCATCATTTCTGTATGACTACCACAAAAGGATTACTTTACAGAAACAGCTGCCTTTTTGGAGAGTGTGATTTGGACCCTGATTCAGAAAACAGGTACAGCTGTTATGTTCTCTCTAATACATTTTGTTGCAAATGAAAAAAATGTCAACTGAAATCCAGAGCAGGAAAGCCTTGTGTGTCGTTTCCACAGCTCCTCATTCACGGGATTGCCTCCGTAAGCTAGAGATTGATACGTGTTCAAACCAAGTGGGTCCTTTGTGTTTGAAGTAAAAACACTTTGAGTAAAAGTAAGCACTAGGATATTACAGAAATATTGTGGTTAAAAGTGGCACACACTGATTTTATTGTGGTTTTTGGTTTGCATGAGCATGGCATATAGAAAAGTGTAGCCCCAGAGAGCTGGAGACAGCGGAGGAAGCACTCTATAGCCCCAAGTATGCTATCTTCCAAGCCAATGTCTGACTTTCTAGCAGGTGGATTTTGTACTTGTTTGTTTATTTCAGTCTGAAGATAGTGATTAAGTTAAGTGAGTAGGAGATCACAGACAGAGAGAGGTATCCTCGCCAACCAGAATGAGCCAGGCATTTCCTGCAAAAGGATGATGCATGCTGTTTGTTCAAGAGTGCTACATTATTTGCATGGCACCCAACAACACATGTCACTAGATATTAATTATACTTGTTTATTATGAAATTATGCATTGTATGATTTAGTAATGGTCCTTAAGTGGGAATCCTCCACTATTTAAAATCCCTGAATAAGCACATGTCTAATACCCATAACTAAGTGGGCACCAATAGACTATTTCAAGTCAAATTTACTGGGCATGCTCTATGTCAATACTAATAACATATTTTTAAATAATCAGTATAGAAGTTTTAAATGTATATTGAGAATGAATTATTGTTGTCTTATTGTTTATAACACACTAATTTAAAGGGTTCCATTCTCTAATGATTAAATTGATTTAAAAAATTAGAGATTCTTTTCCCAGTCTACTCTAGAGGATCAGAATCATCAAATGTAGAAATGAGGAGGTGACAGGGCTTGAGAGTAGTTCTACAGGACAGGGTGGGACGACACGTGATTCATTTAACCTTAATCTCACAGCCACATACACATTCTGCCGAGTTTATGTTTCTCCAAACTTTCATGAATTCTGTTAAATTGTACCAATTCTTCTATTAATTAAAGACCCTAACTAGACCAAGAATCCATCAATTAAATCTGTCAAGTAAAGCAACCATGACTTTTATTATTAAAAAAAAATAGGTGAGTAAATAGGAAACACGGAGGAGAAAGGACAGGGAAGGTGACAATGTTTCTGATACAGCTCTCCAAATCATGGAGGCAGGGACATAACTTTCCCATAAATTAGCACATATTTCACTGTAACATTGCAAAGACTTTAAGGCAGTCATCATCACTAGGCCTGTTGTAAGAATGATCTCAGAAAATGTTACAAAAACAAAATAAAGTTAAATAAGTTCAGTAATCCATATTCTATTCATAAATATAAACTTATGGAAAGGTAAAGAGAGAAATCCACGGAGTCTGCTTTAATAGCAAGGAATTTATTAGGGAATAAAAACTCACTACAGCATGGAAGACTTATTGTAGGGTCCTGGAAAGCCAAGCTATGGTCCACGCTGTTCTTCTGCCTGGTCCGTCTCAGCACCCAAAATCCACAAGGCAGAGAGTGAACACCTTGTACATGCAGCTCAGTTCTTAAGGATCCCAAGAGGCCACGCCCCAGGGGGAGATGTACTTCAAGGTCATAGGAACATGGAGCAGTTACCTGGTCCCTCTTTAGGGGCAGTCATAGACAGAAAAGCTGTTCACTACAGAAAGGTGTTGTTTAGTGTATTGTTTTGTTTTGTTTAAGCATAGTAACATTTTAATAAACCAAACTCTATATTAAATTTCTACTTTGAAATACCTGTGAACATTAAATTGTATCCTGGCTCCTTGGTTCAACTTAGCAAGGGAAGAAATAAATGATTTCCGGTGCTTTTAAAGTTCAGAAGAAAAAAAAGGAACAGAACACAGCACAGCTCCTGTAAGGTAAAAGGGAATCCAATGCTCACTTACACATGTGTTAAGATGGAATTTAAATTTACACTAGACATATGAACAATGGAAACAAGATGTGGTGAGTGTCTTGACCAACTGTGACCTAGTACATTGCTTCAGGTGTCAACCCAAATGTGTTCAGTTTGTGGAGTTCAACAGAACTCTGATCCAAGTTTGGTAAGAGTTTGCTGATGTCTTACTGAACTGAGTTTTGAGACTGGGATGTGGAGCTCTTGTCGCTGAACAGGGAAGCTGTGGATCCTGGCTCGGCGAGTACAGTGCATTCTTGCCATGTCTTTGTTACTGTTCTGAGCCACTAATTGAAAAGCACATTGGTAGAATGGAAACAATCTAAACAGATGAGCTGGGCTGAAAATTCCAAAGAGGCATAAGTGAATTAGAATTGATGAGACTGATGAGCTTGGGTGACAGTGTCACATTCAATAAAGTCTGTTTCATTCACAGACTTGCATGTCATCTGTCTCTGCAACCACTAAAAACATTCAGGGGACTCATTGACAGTTCATTTCGACATACCAACTAAGCCATTATAAGAGGCGACACATATTAAAAGGGGTCCTAAGTTCAGCCACTAAGAGTAAAACACTTCCCTCAATAACTTACACAACTGTCTCCAGCAGTCATTGGCCCAGGCCCAAGAGACAGAGTTCCTTCCATTAGGGAGGAGCCCCTGGGGCTCTGAGGTTATAGATTTTCAGGCAGGATTGCTCATTACTAATGGAAATAAACTGGGCATTACTGCATACAGCTGGAGATACAGTGGCTGAGAGTGGGAGACTGCAAGGTGTTCTGAATTTCAAAACTGAAGAATTTAAATTTCATTAGTAACACTTTTGAGAATTGCATAACATTTTTTGGAAGAAATCACTTACATGTGTATATTAATTGTATATGCTGTGTATATGGTGAATACCATTGATACTTATGGACATGTTCACAGTATATAACTCATTCCTGAAACATTAAATTAGAAGGAAATGCATGGAAACAGCCTGAGTGAATATCAGAATGTATCAGCAATTTCGGGGAGGGGAAAACATGGTGCTAATCTCTCTGTGCTAGTACAGAGGGTGAATTCCAGATATTAAAAATAAATGTTTAATAGGAGTGGACTCTTTCCTAAACACTATTCTGTTTTCTATATCTTTTGGGTATATATGGCAAATGAAAAGATTAGAGCTTAGGAATAAGTTATATTTGGACTGAGTCTCTATTATAATTTTGCCATCTCTGGAAACTCTGACTATTATATTAACTTTTCTGAACATCACAGTTTCTTCTCTTATAACTTGGATTATACCTTAGTCTTCAAAGAGGTGTGAGGAAATGGGATAGAACATATCTATAACTACATCTATGTGTACACTGTGAGGTATACAGAAGTGTATACATTTCAGGTTTGGTATGTAGAAAATGTTTAACAGATGGCTGTACTGTGATAAAATAAGTACCACGGTTTATAACTCACCAAGGAGAACAAAACTTTCTTGAGACTCTGATAAAGTATTAATGAAGGGAAGGGAAGAGGAAGAGCGAGGAAGAGAAACATATAGGGGAAAATAGGGAGGGAGGGAGCGAAAAGATGAGGGGAAGAGAAGGAGGGAGGATGTGGAAGGAAAGGAAACGGGGGGAAGGAAGGAGAGAAGAAATAGAAAGATGTGCCCCTTTCTTGATGCCAGTCATTATGCATCCTGACACTCTTATCGAGTGTAAAAAAAAAAGTGTTAGAATCCAACCCTTTTTGTCCCAGATGGTAAGAAGAGGAATTCTAAAGTGGGTCTCACTCATTATTGAAAGAACTGTTGTGTATTGCTGTTCTGGATGGGGATCCAGAGATAGTCCAGTCCCCCATTCCTGTGTTCCCCAGGAAATCAGAAAGCCTGGGAGTCCAACAGTGCAATTCCTTCAGCACCTGCCCAGGAGCTGAGCACTCAATGGCAGCAAACAGGAACCATGCCTAAGAGGGAGGAGCAACAGAAGCCTTCCTGCTGCAGTGGCCACTGATGCTGTCCCAGGTATAACGCCCAGTGCCAGAAGCTGCGTGCAGGGAGTTACCTAGAATCCCTTCAGGTTTAGCTCTGATGGTAAACCTGAGAGTTCATCATGTTCTTTCCTGATGTTTATGCCTTCAGCAGTTTTAGCAGCTGTAAATCACCTCTGTCTAGATTTCTTTCTACTTGCAATACCTTAACATAGAAAGATGACTAAAAATAAACACCCACCCCACACACATGTAAAGCCCAGTGAAACGCCTAAAAGTGGAAAGACTTATTATTACACAGAGGAATGCTCTGTTTCAAACAGGTCTTGACTTCCTTCATCTGATTTTGGGTTGTTGTAACTTTGTAAAGTTAGCAGAGCACAATTCTTTTAAATGTGTTAAGGAGCTAGAGCAATGGCCCAGCAGGTGCAGGCGCAGGCGCAGGTGCAGGCGCAGGCGCAGGTGCAGGCGCAGGCGCAGGCTCAGTCACACCTGCAGGCGCAGGCGCAGGCTCAGTCACACCTGCAGGCGCAGGCGCAGGCTCAATCACACCTGCAGGCGCAGGTGCAGGTGCAGGCACAGGCGTAGGCGCAGGCACAGCTGCAGGCACAGGGGCAGCTGCAGGCACAGGCGCAGGCGCAGGCGCAGGCTCAGGCGCAGGCGCAGGTGCAGGTGCAGGGAGTACTTACTGCTCTTGCAGAGGAGCCCATGTCAGTGTCTGGCACCTCTACCACTCACAGCAGCTCAGAGCCACCTGTGACTCCAGTTCCACAAGAACTGTAGTCCTCTTCTGCCCTCTATAGCGCAAGCTAAGTACTTTATGAGTACAGGGTGCTTGCACTCAGGTACATACACATTCACATATGCATAAAATATAAATAAATAATTGAATGAAACTTTTGAAATGTGTTAAGTGAATAGGGTAGAGCCCTAGTCAGGCCTCTGGAAGACAATAGGAACAACAGGAAGCATTTATGTCTTATTAAACTAGACAAAGAAACAAAGTGATAGAAAACAG